AGATATTTGGCTTCAGTAGTTGTAGACAATTAATTATGAAGATAACTTGTCAAATATTCAGTCTGATGGTATTCAGATTGTGATAAAAGATGATTAGAACTGGAATAATATTGTCTCTCCGCTGGTAAAGCAAATATGATGTTCGAACACATTCCTTTAATGGAATATATATCACTATTTTGTGAACCTTTTTCTGTAGAATGAATTCAAAAGTAGTACTAGTACTTGTTTTAAAATCTCTTACTTTGTTATGTTATTATGATGCTTGGAACCAGTTTCTGGAAATTCAATTATTAGTCTGTAACCTTTGTGTACTGAATTGTACTAGAATATTCTAGTGGTGCCAATGTTGGATAAAAGAATTGTTTATACTAGTCTTTAGAAGTGACTGTATTGAGACCATGTGATTCCAGTGTTATAGACATCAGTGATTAAAAGTTACAAGTTAATACAGAAGGCACTGGCACAGGGTTAAAGTTATGTTTACTAGTTGTAGAGGTTAGGGTGATTAAAAGTTAAGTTAATATTCAACAGAAGGCACTGGAACAGGGTTAAAGCTGTCATGTTCACTAATTTAGAGGTTAGTGTGGTTGAAAGTTACAAGTTACTATTTAATTGAAAGCACTGGAACAGGGTTAAAGCTGTCATGTTCACTAATTGTAGAGGTTAGGGTGGTTGAAAGTTACAAGTTACTATTCAACAGAAAGCACTGGCACAGGGTTAAAGTTATGTTTACTAATTGAAGAAGATCAGTGATTAAAAGTAAAACATTACAATTCAATAGAAGGCACTAGAATTCACTTATTGTAGCAATAAGGATGGTTGAAAGGTAACAAGTTATTATTCAACAGAAAGTACTGGTACAGGATACAGGATTAAAGTTCTGTTTATAACTACTGTGATGTGCACTTTAAGACAAAGAAGGAAATAGTAAATATGTTAATTATACTGAAGAGCCTAAGATAATGATATGAATATAATTGAAGATATCTCCTCTAGAATCTCATAGGACCCCTACTGTGGCATATTAGACTATCAGGAATATAATATATACTTAATACAAGATTGTCAGTATATCTGGGAATTTTACCAAGGTTTACTCTTCCTGATCAAACATTAACTATTTAAGTTCATTCTCGTAATTGAAACTGATTTATATTACACTGAAAACTTACTGCGAACCGTTTTAAAACAGATTTCAATCAATTCAACTAAGCCTGTTTAAGATCCAAGCTAATGAATCTGTGAATTTTCATCCATTCTGAATAACTTCCTGATTTTATTGCTTCGTTGCCAAACTGACATCAAATATCAAAATTTATGTGTACATTAGCCACATATTTGTGTGTATAATGCACAGTTTTTAGACATTTGGTATACAAATTATTATTAATATTCTGAGGTTTATAGCTTGTATATTTGTGAAAGGATTAATGTAATTGTTATAAATCAGAGTTGTGGATATTAAATATTACCATTTTGCACATAAATTTCTTATGATTTAGATAATTAAGGGAAGAAATTTGATGAATTTGGAGGCAAGAGGTGTGGAAAACATCTGTGCTGTGTGTGCAATTTTTTAGGGGATATTTCATATAAATTTCTGGAAAAAAGAATGCAAACTTAATTTTAGTGTGTTGCATGTGATTTTAAGGTAACTGTATATTGCAAGTATATTTCCTATATCTTAAAGGGAAGATCTGAAGGAATTTTGTCCTGTTCCATATTTGGAAGTGACAAGTGTTGGAATTTGAGTGAATGATACTGGTAAAATGATCCCTGTAATGGTTTGGTTAGGATCAGGATCAGTTAGGAATATGGAAATTATAAGGTGATCAAGCCTTAATCAAAGAGATGATCAAGATGTCTGATATTAAGACGAAAGAGGTTACTGATGATGATACCAGTACAGAAACACAGTTTGGTAAGAAAGTTTCTAGTGTATGACAGGTTTCAATCACATGAAAATGACTTGAAACATGTTGTTATTATTGTTTCACGCTATGTGATCAGCTGACCTGATTCAAATTCTGTTATAATATTTCTATATCACTCTACAATTGATGTATTGAGTACTATATTAACAGTGGTATTTCTATATCACTCTACAATTGATATATTGAGCACTATTTTAACAGTGGTATTTCTACATCACTCTACAATTGATGTATTGAGTACTATATTAACAGTGGTATTTCTATATCTCTCTACAATTGATATATTGAGCACTATTTTAACAGCGGTATTTCTGTATCACTCTAAAATTGATGTATTGAGCACTATTTTAACAGTGGTATTTCTATATCGCTCTACAATTGATGTATTGAGTACTATATTAACAGTGGTATTTCTATATCACTCTACAATTGATGTATTGAGTACTATATTAACAGTGGTTTTTCTATATTGCTCTACAATTGATCTATTGAGCACTATTTTAACAGTGGTATTTCTATATCGCTCTACAATTGATGTATTGAGTACTATTTTAACAGAGGTATTTCTATATTGATCTACAATTGATGTATTGAGCTCTATTTTAACAGTGGTATTTCTATATCGCTCTACAATTGATGTATTGAGTACTATATTAACAGTGGTATTTCTATATCACTCTACATTTCCTTATTTTATAATGCAATGTGTTCTAACTGACAAGCATTGATTGGTTAAAAATACTACCTTTGGGACAGGCCTTTGTTAGAAAACTTGTTAGATTACAATAGAGACTTAAAATATCATCATCATTATTAGCTATGTGGACTCTCTGAAACAAAGCACAGAAAACAATATCAGATCATGTTATTGAGAGTGTTATAAGTGTATATTGCTATTTAATAATGTATTAGTGTATCATATTCTGATGGTATTCACCCTGAAAACTCTGTTAATTCACTTTAAATGTTACTCATTGATTTATTCATGAATATTGCCTCATAACTATTGACAACCTGCATTTGTTTTATAAATCGGAAAATAGCTTTATGTGTTCCTGTTACAAGAACAAAGGTTCTTTAATTCCTACCTTAAATAGAAGCATTAAGTGTTCATGATAGAAGTACAAAGGCTGGGAAATCTATTTTGAATCTTTATCTTAAATAGTAAGTGTTTCTGATACACATACAAAGGCTCAAAAACTTTTGTGGAATATAAGGTGGCTAGAAAACTTTCTACTTTCAAATAGAAACTATTAGTGTTCCTTATACACATACAAAATCAGTGTGGGTAGAGGGGGGCATTTGTAGAAGTTGTTTGCACCCCACAGAGTAGCCAAAATTTGAATTCAGCCTCAGCAGTTGTCCCCCGATTGAGTCAGTCTGCCCCCTATTTGTACCCCCAGTCTCGGAAGCCTGATATTGTCACTGTACAAAATCTGGAAAGTTTTCTACTTTCAAATAGAAATAGATCTTCCTTACATACATAGGCTAGAGAGGTTAAGTTAAACATGCAATCTAAAGCCCAATAGAGATTGTGATAGTATGCCTGTGCACTTGGTCCGTCGATATCTCATTCCATTGCCAGTGTTTTCGGTAGTTATGGTATTAGTTTTGTTTATGTATAATCTGATTGACAATCCTTGTCAACATTCATTCCAACAGAAAGATTCTAACAACCAATCTAAATATCTATCTATTGTTTAGATCAATACCTTTCAATTATCTTAGAACACTTCTCTTATTATTCATTTATTACTCTCTCTCCCTAGCATTTGTTTACCTGATCATTCATTCATTCATCCATCCATCCCATGACTATATCTAATATGATGTATGTTTAAATCGATACCTTGTTGTCAAAAACATTCATTCATTCATTCATTCATCCATCCATTCTCCACAATCCACCATCCATCCACAATTCATTCATTCATTCATCCATCAACAATCCATTTCATCCATTCATTCATTTATTCATCCATCCATCCATCCATCCATCCATCCATCCATCCATCCATCCATCCATCCATCCATCCATCTGTTCATTCTATTCCTATATGTAAAATGATTTGTGTTAAGATCAATACTATTTAATTGTTGTAGTAACAGTTATGTTGTTTATCTCTAGTATCACGATATGTTCTCGTAATTCACCCTGTAACTTCCGACATTCCTTTACAAAACATCATTATACTGTCAATAATAGTCCTATATCACAGAATATAGTGTTAAAACAGATAAAAAGGAGGAATTCCTTAAAAAAATGTTATAGATAGGTCTTGTTGAGGGGTTCTGGTAACACAGTCAGCTAAACCACTGGAAATTTTACATGATATCATTGGCTTGGTTACTTTGATAAAATGGTGGTTGTGTGTTCTAATTCAGGAGTGTGAAAGTCTGATGATCTTGAATAGGTCATCTTTGCTCATTATTCCAGTCCACCCATCTATAAATGGGTACAGATAATCTGGTAAAGATCAATGTCAAGAGGTTTGGCAAAAGTCAAGCTTTCCTCATTATTCCAGTCCACCCATCTATAAATGGGTACAGATAATCTGGTAAAGATCAATGTCAAGAGGTTTGGCAAAAGTCAAGCTTTCCTCATTATTCCAGTCCACCCATCTATAAATGGGTACAGATAATCTGGTAAAGATCAATGTCAAGAGATTTGGCAAAAGTCAAGCTTTCCTCATTATTCCAGTCCACCCATCTATAAATGGGTACAGATAATCTGGTAAAGATCAATGTCAAGAGGTTTGGCAAAAGTCAAGCTGGAAGAAATGATCCTCATGAAACTTAATTCAACCTGCTTATTGTATTAGATAAATTGAATTGAATTAGATGCTTCCATGCTTGTTTCTAAAGATCAGATCTTAACAGCTTACAAAAAACATGTGTCTAATCGATCAAATAGGACAGTGAAACAAGAACCTGTGTGTTATTAAGATCTTTTAACAGTTTGATATATTGCACACCACATCATCATTGCTCTTCTTCATCAGCTGTATCAAGTGCAGAAAAGTAGGATGTAAAACTCCATTTCATTCCATTTAATATATATATTTCATAATTCCAGAATTAGAAAGAAGAATAAAATGTAATGATCATGAATACAATACAAGTTTTGAATATGCTGTAAGTTGAATTTTTATTTTAAGTCACTGATTTTTTTTAGATTTTTTAGATTTTTTAGATTTTTTTTACCTTTTATTTCAATGTTTTCTGTTGGACAGAAGTTAACTTTTATATTCCTTGGTCCAGCAAGGATATTGCAGTATGATCAAACGGCTACACGAGGGCCTATTTGTTTATCAAATCAAATGTATTGAGGGGAAAAACAATGATTAATTTATATAGCAAAATTTGATTGTTTGGTTCATACATCCTGGCATTTTTTGCCTTTTCATATTGAAGAAGAAAGCTTCAAGCATTTGTTTTCTCTTTGAATGACTTTGAATGTATATGTATTATAATGTTTAAACAACCTTGTCCTTAGAAACAGAATGTAAGTCAAATTTGTGACCCCGCACATCATATCAGGTATTAAGATGCACTGCCCAGTAATAAGCTGGAAGTGAAGTATTAAAGGAGACTCAAATCTGGATATTGAATTGACTATCTTCTGAACAGAGAAAGCTATTGAGATGGAATTGGTATCAAAATGTAGCTGATGATGCCAGGAATCCAAATATACTAATAGTTCTACATACACCAAATACTACTTAATACCTGGTTTGATGTGCGGGGTCACATATATAATCAGAAATACTAATTTGAGAGTCAGTTACTATGGTAGGGCATGCTCTCCCTTCTGGGACACTAAAAACTGGATGGGAACTCAGTATCACAAGATAACTAAGAATGTTTAGCATTCCTTTTGGAGTGTCCTCAGTTTAACACAGCATCCCTTTCAGAGAGTCCACATAGATAAAATGTTGTTAATTTTGTATTTTGGTTTGTCAACTAATCATACTTTTCCATATAGCTAAAAAAATAATAAATTTGGCATTTTGGGGTGTCATCCCTTTCAGAGAATCCACATCGTTAAATATGCATATTCTGGCTGTTTGTTAACTTAACATCCGTTTAGGAAAGTCCACTTAGCTAACAATGTTGAGTTGGTATATTCTATGAGCTAATAAGCACGTGGAACATTGAATATATAATTAAGGAAGAGTATATCTATGTATATATTTCTACTGTTATCTTACTGATTAGTAAAACTCCACCTGGTGAACATTATGTGCCCAACCTTCTTAAAGAAGTGTGTTATATTCCATACTATTGTCTTGTGTTTTGTTATATGTGCTCCTCGCTTCTATATGTCGTTCAAATCCTATGATTAGTAATAAGTACTGAATAGTATCCCAGTAGACCTTTAAATATTTCATAATAAAAGATTTAAACCATTGTTCTTCCGATTGTTTCAAATAAACCATCGATTTTCTACTGGGTTTCATTGAAATTCAAAAGAAAAAACTCAGATAAAATCAATGATGTTTTTAACTTGAGTATTTTGTTGAACCGAGATATAAAAATATTAGACAGTTGACATTGACAACGGCGTCTCTGGTTTAATGTATTCTATTACTTACTTGATATAGTCGTAGAAATTACTATAAATACTTACAGGGATTGTAAACAGGTTTTTCTAAAAAAAATAATGTGTATTGAGTGGTTCCTGCAATTCCTCAAAAACTAAATGTTTCAGCCTTCAGTTATCAGTGTCCCCGATACACATAACAAATTGAGAAAAACCTCCTTACAATCTCTTTAATTTATTATGTGAATCTGATAAACTGTCAGCCAAGCAGGGTTGACTTTGCTACAAAGAAGATAAATAAATAGATACGTAGAGATGAATGATTTCAGAGAAATTTGATTCCATGTGGCTCTGATTGAGTTGTGAAAGTATGTCTAGATAATTATTTATTTATCAATATATTTCAAATGAATATGAAAATAAGATGAACTGTTATTGATGCAGGTTTCCTATTTCTCCAAATTGAGAAAAACCTCCTTACAATCTCTTTAATTTATTATGTGAATCTGATAAACTGTCAGCCAAGCAGGGTTGACTTTGCTACAAAGAAGATAAATAAATAGATACGTAGAGATGAATGATTTCAGAGAAATTTGATTCCATGTGGCTCTGATTGAGTTGTGAAAGTATGTCTAGATAATTATTTATTTATCAATATATTTCAAATGAATATGAAAATAAGATGAACTGTTATTGATGCAGGTTTCCTATTTCTCCAAATTAGTTGAATAAATAAATAAATATCACAATAAATCCAGTAATATTTTGGAGATAGACCAGTTGAAACTTATCTGTTTTTAGTGGCTGGGTTTAAATAAATTCCATTACTTAGTTGGTCTAAAGGTTACAGACATTACTAAAAATATAGTGTTTATTTATCTAAAATGGATATGTAATTTAGATAAACTGTCATTGATATAGGGTTGACTATTTCTCCAAATAGATAAATGAATGAAAAGATAAATAATAGATGAATTAATGAAAAGATAAATAGATAGATGAATTAATGAAAAGATAAATAGATAGATGAATTAATGAAAAGATAGATAGATAGATGAACTAATGAAAAGATGAATAGATAGATGAATTAATGAAAAGATAGATAGATAGATGAATTAATGAAAAGATAAATAGATAGATGAATTAAGGAAAAGATAGATAGATAGATGAATTAATGAAAAGATAGATAGATAGATGAATTAATGAAAAGATAAATCATAGATAGATGACTTAATGAAAAGATAAATAGATAGATGAATTAATGAAAAGATAAATAGATAGATGAATTAATGAAAAGATAGATAGATAGATGAATTAATGAAAAGATAAATCATAGATAGATGAATTAATGAAAAGATAAATAGATAGATGAATTAATGAAAAGATAGATAGATAGATGAATTAATGAAAAGATAAATCATAGATAGATGAATTAATGAAAAGATAAATAGATAGATGAATTAATGAAAAGATAGATAGATGAATTAATGAAAAGATAAATCATAGATAGATGAATTAATGAAAAGATAGATAGATAGATGAATGAATGAAAAGATAAATAGATAGATGAATGAATGAAAAGATAAATAGATAAATTAATGGAAAGATAAATAGATAGATGAATTAATGAATAGATAAATGGATAGATGAATTAATGAAAAGATAAATAGATAGATGTTTTCAGTTATTTTTCTTTAAGACCAAGATATAATCTCACAAGTTTTTCTGGAAGGTTTGTTAGGTGTTTCTGAGGCCTTATTAAGATCGTCGTCTGCCGGGAGATTAGGTGCCATGGGTTTGATTCCCTTTTAAGGTTAGAAAAAGGCTGATGCTCAGCCATTGCTTTTGAGAATTGGCCCATTCATTGTTTGCATTTTTTCCCCAGCTTTTATCTCTGATAACGAACCTTGACTCTGATTTTTTTTTTATATTTTCAGAACAACTATATCAGTACATCTAAATACAATGTTTTTACCTTCCTGCCAAAGAATTTATTTGAACAATTCCAGCGTTTGGCCAACGCCTATTTTCTTGGCCTACTTATTTTACAGGTAAGCTTTGATCTTACATTTGAAATTTTACAGTAAGAAAAATCAAAATTGATTTTAAGATTTCTTTATGGAGTGGGGTCCTGACTTGAATTGTTGGAATATTATTGTTTTAAGATTAACGGGAATAGAGGACCATATTTAGTGTGACAAAATTTCTTAAATTAGAAGTTTCATAAATGTCTGAATACGGTAAAGACATTTTGACCTTGAAGTGGTTTTTGATTATTAAGACACCTATAAGAAAGATGACAGACGCCTTGTGGGAGGGAGAGAGGGAGTGAGAGTTGGTGGGGAGGGGCATTTATTGAACAATGGACTAAATAATTTATGAGAATATATATAGGTGATCACTGTAAAGATTATTTAACTTTGGCTTGGGGGGTGGTGATTGTACCATATACTGTACTTTTGTCACTGCAAAACAAAAAGACATAATTATGGTATATTAGAAGGGGTGAGGGAGGGAAGAGACGGCCATTTATTGAGTATTTGACTGAATTATCTATGAGACTATATATCTGTATGTAGAAGATAGTAAGCATGGACTATATATTGTTAAAATATTGATTAGCTAGTGTATACAAGATGTTTAGTAGATCTGTATCTCTGTTACCAAGCATGTGTTATTAACGACCAAAACTCGTGACTAGCCTTCTTGTACATGTTATACAAAACACTTGGTCTCAATTGACTACCTGCAAATTATACTAGCCTAGATTTTCAAATAAATATGCTGGGAAAAATAGAAAGGAAAGAAAGAAACCGCCTATTTAAAAGGATAACATCTTTGGTGTCATGGGTCAAATCTCTTGACATTGATCTTTCCCAGATTATCAGCTGCCATTAACAGAATGGTTGACTAGAATATTGAGTAAAGATGACTTATTCGAGGTCACTAGACTTTCAGATGCTTACTGGGATTAGAATTCTCGACCATTATTTGCCAATGTAACGAAACAAATAATGTCAAATTCTTCAGAACTTACTGTGTATGACCTTTGACCTCTTTCTACAACCTGCATTATGTTACGATATATGCATGAGATATGATTAATACTGCATCTGAATAGATTAAAATGGCTGTAACATTAGATGTATGTAGAAAACATGGGGTAGGGTTTGCTTCTACTAACATATATTGTATGTACAATCTCATTCAAATACAGATCCAGATGTTTAGTCTCTTTGGGTTTCTATACTCATATTGAGTTGCCCAGAGAAAAAATATGAAACATAACATGTAGATCAGGATTTAGTGAGATTGTTTTATGGATGTCAACTTATGAATATGATTATTTCATGTATGATTTTCTTTACAAATTCATCCATTCCTCAATCCAGTGTTCAATTCATTCTTTTCATTCATCATTCCAATCCCACATTCATCCATCTACCCATCTATCTACTTATGTATCCAGCTATACCTCTTTTCATGTAGCCATCTATTCATTCATTCCATTGATCCATCACTCCATCCATCCATCTATTCATTCATTCCATTGATCCATCATTCCATCCATCCATCTATTCCATCTAAACACCCATCCATTCATCCATCAATCTATCCATCAATCCATCCATCTGTTCCATCCATCTATCCATTCATCCATTCATCCATTATTTCATCCATCCATCCATCCATCCATCCATCCATCCATCCATCCATCTGTTCATTCATCCATTCATTCAACCCCTCTTACCCATCCATCATCCAACCTCATGCATCCAATCATCTATCTGATGTAAAATTTTGTATTTTTTGATACCGTAGATGATACCGGCTGTATCGTCGTTGAACCCTGTAACTACTGTCATTCCATTGGTCTTTGTATTGACCATTTCTGGTGTTAAAGATGCCATTGATGATTTCGTAAGTCACAGCGATTCCACGGAAAACTTTTACAAGTTTATTAAATCCTAGACAGAAGTTTTTTCGAAGCTTCGCAAAAAATTTCTGTCAAGCCATATTGGCTATTTTTTTGCCAACCTCTTGAAATTTTTGAGTGTGTCAAAAAAAAAGAAGCTAAATATGGCGAACGATTTGATAATCTGTAAAAAGGATTCAAAGGTAGTTCATTCCTGCACCTTGCACTTTGCTTGCTAACACGCTTGTTGTGGCTTCCGTCTCTCTCTAGTTATAATACATATATAATCCTCCTTACTGCAGACTGGTCAAAAATGAGATAATTTTTTTTTGTTCATAATCTAGCACGCTTAAAATTTAATTTGTGGAGTTTTCTTATACATTAGAAATTTATTGAATCAGCTAGTTCACTTGGCAAAACTTTTTATCATTTTGGAGAGTGCTCATAGTTAACAATGTCATGCTAATATTCTTTTGTCAGTATTTCTTGAGCTAGATTTATTTGTCAGCATTAGAAAAAGCAATTGATGGTTAGAAAAATGTCAATATTCATTTAATTTTAGGTTAAGAAATTTTGACACAAGACGCGATAAAATTGAAAAAGTTTGATTGGCTGTCAGAGGAGTCTGTAAATTAGAAGAGAAAAGTAATATTCCCATGTTACGTTACCGCCTTGACGTGTAATTTGAAATCTTTGTGAAAAAAATATATGATTAATCTCAATATTTGAAAATAATCGACAATTTTATGGATTGCAGATTTACAAGTTTTTGGCATGAATTGTCTAAGGATAACTTGACTCATGTTGTGGGTGGTTATTTAACACAATTTAACACTTCACTCTTATAAATTCTTGTAAAAATCTTACTGCACTTAGGTAGAACTTGGTTCACAATATCTCACTGTATGAAAGTTACAGTAACAAAATACAGATTGTTTTATTTGTAAAATTCAGGTTCTAATATGATGTCTGATTCTTCTTTGATAGTCAGTTCTATTTTGATAGTCAGTTCTATTTTGATAGTCAGTTCTATTTTGATAGCTGGGTTGATAGTCAGTTCTATTTTGATAGTCAGTTCACAGTTCTATTTTGATAGCTGGTTCTATTTTGATAGACAGTTCTATTTTGATAGCTGGTTTGATAGTCAGTTCTATTTTGATAGTCAGTTCTATTTTGATAGCTGGTTATATTTTGATATCAGGTTCTATTTTGATAGACAGTTCTATTTTGATAGTCAGTTCTATTTTGATAGACAGTTATATTTTGATAGCTGGTTCTATTTTGATAGACAGTTCTATTTTGATAGTCAGTTCTATTTTGATAGCCGGTTCTGTTTTGATATCAGGTTCTATTTTGATAGACAGTTCTATTTTGATAGACAGTTCTATTTTGATAACCGGTTCTATTTTGATATCAGATTCTACTTTGATAGACAGTTCTATTTTGATAGCCGGTTCTATTTTGATATCAGGTTCTATTTTGATAGACAGTTCTATTTTGATAGTCAGTTCTATTTTGATAGACAGTTCTATTTTGATATCCCATTCTATTTTGAGTCCTTTTCTATTTTGACTCCTATTCTATTTTGATATCCCATTCTATTTTGAGTCCTTTTCTATTTTGACACCTATTCTATTTTGATATCCCATTCTATTTTGATATCCGGTTCTATTTTGATATCCCATTCTATTTTGATAATTCTGTTACCTGTTGTTTGAAGTTTATGAACATTGAAAAGATTAGTCTCATTTTTCCAGTCTCTCTGTAGATATTGACTGTGTTCAATGCATGAATCTCTCTTATTATTTTGTATTTTAGAACTAATATATGCATGTAATAAATATATACATATACAGTAGACTAACATGACTTACGCTTCAAATGACAAGGGCTGGAACATTTATTTGACATACAGCGAGGGTCTTATATTTTTATTGGTGATCATAAATGTTTTTGAGTCCCCTTGGTAATTCCTGAAAGTAGACAGAAAGTGCCATGTGGGTTCCAATATCAGATATTGATAGATGGTGGAACCTAAGTGGTTGGAAAAACTAAAACATGTATTGAACACAGTGTTAATTAGAAATTTGAAAGTTTTATTTCAGCACTGTTTGATATTAACATAGGTTTTAACTTGTGTTTGAAATTTTATTTTAGTTTTTGATATGTTTTATTTGATACTTTTTTTGCAAAATGATTTTAAAAATATTAGAAAAATACTACAGACTGGGTTTGGAATGGTGTTATATTGGCCAAAAAAAACCAAAACAATTGGTTAGAAATTAATCATGTTTTGAACCTTGCTCAATGTGAAAAAGTTTCAACATCACTGCCAGTGCTTTTGAGAGTTGATTTGCCAAAGAGATCACAATATTTATCAAATACGAACATAATTTCACTATTGTTAGCTAGTGTTCCCACCCAAAACCTCCTGGGGTGTTTCTACTTTCATTTTTAACGCTGACACGGCACATGGTTTTTTTCTGTCTCTCTCTCAGTTGCTTCCTGTGATTTCGTCCCTAACTCCGCTTACGACCGTCATCCCCCTTGTGGCTGTCCTCAGTGTAACTGCTATCAAAGATGCTGTAGATGACTTCGTGAGTTTTTTAACTTTTATTTTTATGTAATATTGGAATTAGAAGATTAATAGATACATTCATGTTATTACATTATTTTTATTTATTCATTTACGACTGTTTGATTGGATGTCAGCTCTTTGATATTTGTTGGTTATCTCATGAAATCACTCTGATCCATCAACAGCTCTTGATATTTTGATCTAATTTGCATATTTTCTGTGGTTTACGTCACTCGAAATATGAAATTAAAAAGTACTAACGATTCGCAACCTAAATTCAAAATTGGCTATACATTGGTAGAAGCTTATTATAGACTTTATGAAATCAAATAACTAGCATGTAGAAGCCCACAGAAAATATACTCAACCTAATACATAGAGATTATTTTAATCAGAATTATTTTTGGACTGCTTTTGTTATCAATTATCAACCAAAATGAAAATAGAGAAATTTCCAGAAAAGTCAGGGTTATGTGATAATGATATTTTCTATGATAAAAATTTTCATTGAAATGTCAAACAGAAATAGATCACTGAAACACCATTACATAAACAATTTGTCAAAGTTTTAAAAAGAATTATTGTCTGAGCAAAGTAAAAAGTTTTTATATTAAAAATATAAACATAAGCACATATTATGTCTTTAAAATTTGTTTTTACAGAGGACAATTTTTTTGGGTTGAAAGTTCTAGGACAGATTTGTGTTTCTTTCAATGTAAACTTATTGAATATTATTTTTCCATCAACACAAAAACATTCTAAAACTAATAATACTATTTTGAGGCTGATATTCCAATTCTCTTGAAAAATACCGAAAAAATTCAAAAACTTTTTGATTTGCTGAGACAATGAATAGAACAATATAATAATGTGATAATTTGAATGAATGTATCTTGATAATTTTGAGGATATCTGTGGTTTTATTGGATCAGTGGGTAATGGTTTAAAATTTTTGAATTAACCTCAAATTTAAATGTTATTTTATGATGTACAATATTTTGAGTAAATTTTAATTGTGTTTGTTAGGGAGAGAGTCATTTGCTTTTTTCACCTGTTTTAGCACTGCCATTAATGTTTTTATCTTATTCAATTAAATTCTAGTAGGTCAAAGTTGATTATGCACATGCAGGACTGTTTCTAAACATAAACAGGAATAGTCCACTTTATTCTGAGGTAGTTTAAGTGGTAATGGACTCGAAATAAGTCTAACTTGTATAGTTATAATTATGATTTATTCTACCTCAATATAAAGTGGATTGTTTGAAAACATTGCTGTTGGTGCACAATCATCTTTGACTAAATTTTACATAAATTATTCCAGGCTAGCTTATAATCAAAACAACTATTTATGGCATATTAATGCGATTTTTGTCCATTTTTCTTAGCTATAATTGATATAACAAATTTCAATTTAATATTTCAATAATATTTGCTTCTTTTTGAACAGTTTATCAAGTTTGGCTTCAATGTTTTCATTATATTTTCTCACTTTGATATTGTTGTACCTGTGGTTCTCGTTAAAACTCTTCAATTACCCAAGAATTCAAAAAACGCTTTTATTTACTAGATAACATTCTAGATTATACTAACTCTATTTTGACTACTGTTTTGAAATAGAAACGAACCAAAAAACAAGGGTTTATTCTGACATTATGTACAACTAGTAATATATCAAAGTTTTTGATAAGATATGAGAAAAATAATAAGAAGACGAAATGGGAAATGAAAAGAGATTAATAAATGTTGAGGTAATTAATGATAATTAAAGAAGATAATAACGAAGTAGAATTAATAAAGATATAGTAAAACAATAGATTATAATATCTTACTTGACCTTTCCTCACTGATTGTTTTAATTAAAAGTATATTTCCGTTTTAAGAATAAGTAATACAGTAATTTTTGATGAGTATAATAGTCCTATGTCAAAAGACAGAATGAATTGAGGGAAATTTATTCAGTACATCAGCATGGACCTACTCTTCTTTGATTTCCAACTGTCGAGAGATCTTTAATATGAAAGAAAGAAACAACTATATTTTACTAGGTTAACAACAGTTAATTTCTACCCAGCTGGGCGAAGCCATTGATCTTTCACGGATTATCAGTACCCATTTACAGCTGGGTTGACTGGAATTATGAGTGAAGATGACTTATTCAAAGTCATCAGACTATCACATGCTGATCTAGAATTGAACCCACAGCCGCCGTTTGCTTGACATAATCAAGCAAATGACGTCATGTAGAGAACCAAACTGACTGTATTATAGAACCTCACATGCACAGTCTGTAGCATACGGACCTCGGTTTATTGACCCATCCAAACAAAAATTATTTGAAGTTAACCTTACAACCTCAGATGTCATTCAAATTAAGGATGTAAATATAAAAATTTAGATGTCATATTTGACCTTTGACCTTTAGAACCAGTGATTACCAGGTCAAGTAATTAAGGAAATCATCATTGTCAAATTAAAGATGACTGGTGATAAGGATGTTCATATCACATGATCGTGTCAATTTACTACTACATAATACAACTTTAAAAAACAGCCATTTGATAGATTAGCTACACAAATAAGACATTATAACTTTATCTTGGAGTTCAAAGTTTAATATTGTTGAAATATTGTTCAATATAAAATATAATCTACATTGATAATAAACATAGTGATAACCTTCCATCTATCCCTATACTTGTTTTAAAGATAGAAAATAACAAACCTCCCCCAATCCTGTCAAAATTATTAAAAGATTCAAAAAAAGTCCTCACCATGCTTTGACTGACAATAATATAAAAAGGTTAAAGAAATCAGATGATTTAATATGAAAGAGTTTATTGTCCTGTCTAGCTGTCAATTGAAGATGGTTGTTTTAACGCTGAGGAGACTAGACATCAATCACTTTGGAAACTTCTTGACGCTCTCCAGTCTGACGAGGTTTTTATACACATTGATTCCACTAGATTCCGACAGTCTGACAGAATTGCAGGAATAGACTTTATTCTCTCGTCTATTTTTTTTACACAATAAACGCACGAATTAAAGAGGAAGAGGGTTAAAAAATGAAAAAAGAAAAACCCTTCTTTATGAGAAATGAATTGGTTAAAAAATAAAATGGAATGAAGTGAATGGAGTTTTACATCCTAGTTTTCTGCACCTGATTGGCTATTGATGACAGGCAACGCCATGCAGTCTTCAATGGGCGATATTGGTTCAAGTGGATATCACGATATTAAGCATTTATAATTCACGATAATTAAGAAATATGCGATATGGGTATATTTTGCATAATTTATTATGGTTTTTACTGAAAGTAAGCCTAACTGTAGTCCAGTCTATTGCCCCTGAAGAAATCAGTCAGGCTGTACACACCAGATCTTCCAATGCTTTTTTATTGGTATTTGGAACAAAATGTTCTTTTTTATCTAAAAATTACTAAGCATATAAATAAAAGCTAGGTAAAGTTGAATTGAAACATCAATAAATTAATTGTTACAATGTTACATACTCTCTGACTAATCTTTTAAAATCTAGGTAAAATAGGTCATGTACTGGTAATTAAAGTAGTACTCCAGATATTTATATTGATTATTTAATTATACATGCACTTCTTAAACCATCTTATAGTCAGATCTGTCACATTGACTTAAAGATTTAATCGTATTGAAAAAATAACCTGGAATCTCACTAATACTAAGTGTTTGATGATGTCACAAACCTTGAAGAGCCTCATGTGATAAAGCATATTTTGCAATTAGTGATATCATCAAACACTGGAATTGCAAGAACTACAGATGTCTGACTGAAAATTGGAATGGTGCAAATTAATGTTATCAGTGTCCTCGATACACATAAATAAAAAACAAAATTCTGATTCTGTCATAATGCCATTTGTCTTGAAAACTGTGTGTGTCCTCGAGACACATACAAATGTTAAATAACCTCTTTTGTTTCCCTTGAAAACACAAAATGTAACATGTGGTATTTACAACTTAGCTTAGAATGTCATTGTGTATTAAATATTCTATATTCAAATATTTATAATAACAACAAATTTCAAATTCAGTTCTTATTGTTAGATCAATTAGTGGCAAGGTTTGGTGTCTTTTGGATGGACTCTTTGTTAAAACTATATGATTATGCCTCAGATTTTTTTTACGCATTTCTTTAGCCTAAAGATGTACAGTTGGATGTAAACCTCGATTTCATTAGATCTACAATGTACAGAGCAGTAGGATATAAAACTCTATTTCATTTCATTAGTCCAATAAGATACAGAGCAGTAGGATATAAAACTCTATTTCATTTCATTAGTCCAATAAGATACAGAGCAGTAGGATATAAAACTCCATTTCATTAGTCCAATAAGATACAGAGCAGTAGGATATAAAACTCTATTTCATTTCATTAGTCCAATAAGATACAGAACAGTAGGATATATAACTCCATTTCATTTCATTAGTCCAATAAGATACAGAGCAGTAGGATATAAAACTCTATTTCATTAGTCCAATAAGATACAGAACAGTAGGATATATAACTCCATTTCATTTCATTAGACCAATAAGATACAGAACAGTAGAATATAAAAATCCATTTCATTTCATTAGTCCAATAAGATACAGAACAGTAGGATATAAAACTCTATTTCATTTCATTAGTCCAATAAGGTACAGAACAGTAGGATATAAAACTCCATTTCATTTCATTAGTCCAATAAGATACAGAACAGTAGGATATAAAACTCTATTTCATTTCATTAGTCCAATAAGATACAGAATAGTAGGATATAAAACTCCATTTCATTTCATTAGTCCAATAAGATATAGAACAGTAGGATATAAAACTCTATTTCATTTCATTAGTCAGATAAGGTACAGAACAGTAGGATATAAAACTCCATTTCATTAGTCCAATAAGATACAGAACAGTAGGATATAAAACTACATTTCATTTCATTAGTCCAATAAGATACAGAACAGTAGAATATAAAACTCCATTTCATTTCATTAGTTCAAT